GGATGTGGTTCAGGCTTCCACCTATAGTCTTATGTATTGCAGAGGCTCCGCAGGAAGCCTCCTTCACTGGGCACGTTGTAACCCCATTTTAGGTGTTCCAATCAGTTATAGGCAGAAGACGGACTTACAAGCTATCTATGGTGATGCTTTTTTGCTATTCCTTTCTCTCCCCCTCCAGTGTCTATTTTATAATATAATGCAAGGAAAACCAAGATTCAAAAGACAGCCATGTTTTGGCTTTTTTATATAGTAACATAAAACAATCAAGTCTTGTTCATAGTCAAAATTCAGTGCCTATTCCAAAGAAAGATGATTCATTGAAATGTAGAAATTTTCAATTCATATCATTAATATCAGACACAAATGAAATTATGCTAGAAATAGTTCAAAAATTTTGCCTCCGTATATTGATAAGGAACTGCCCGAAAGTCAACCTTGATTTAGATCAGGTTATGGAATGAAGGATATCATTGCTATGATATAGCAGATGGATCTGTGATGGAAGCAGAGTATAAAAAAGATGTTTAATTGTGTTTTATTGACTGCAAATAAAATGCATGTGTGGAGCATAACAAATTACGGATAACATTGGAAAGAATGTGAGTTTCAGAACACTGAATTTGCCTCCTGGTGTGGCATTATAGGGTAAGCACTGGCTGTGAACCACAAGGTCCTTGATTCCAGCCCACCTGCTGCTCCTTGGAAACCCTATATAGAGTCTCTATGCATTGAAACCCGCTTGATAGCACTTAACAACAACAATTGCACTCATGAAGAACTTGTACATAGATAGTTGTACTGTCATTTGAAGAGACCAAGGGGATACTGCATGGTTTATACTGCATGTGTGTCAGTGTTGTAACTTTCCCCATTTTTATGCATTCTGTATGCTACGTAAATAATCTGAGAAGTTGGATTGTATGAAGAACGTGCTGTCATGATTGAAGGAAGACTCATTAAGAACCTGTGAGATGCAGATGATACAACTTTGCTTGCTGAAAGTGAGAAGAACTCCAAGTATGTAGTGATGAAGATCAAAAACTGTAGCCTGTAGTACATAAAACAAAAATCATCACAACTGGAGCAATAAATAACATCTTGGAAAATGGAGAATGGGTTGACATTGTCAAGGGTTTCATTTACTAGGATCCACAATCAGCATCCATGGAAACAGCACTCAAGAAATCAAAGACACATTGTGTTAGCTAAATCTGTTGTTAAAGACCTCTTTAAACTGATCAAAAGCAAGGGTGTCTCTTTAAAGACTGAGGAGTGCCTGATGCAAAGCATGGTAGTAGTTTCCAATTGCATCATGTGCGTGTGAAAGCTGATTAATGAATAAGGAATACTAAAGCCTTTGAATTATGCTGTTGGTGGAGAATATTGGCTGTACCATGGGCCGCCTAAAGAACAAACAGATGTGTGTTGGAAGAAGTATGCCAGAATACTCCTTAGAAGCTAGAATGGTGACACTTCATGTCACATACTTTGGGCATGTTATAAGGAAGGACCAGTTCCTGGAGAAAGACATCATGCTTTGTAAAGAGTCATGAAAAGAGAGGACAACTTTCAATGAGATGGACGGACATAGTGGCTGCAACAATGGCCTCAAACCTAGCAATGACCGTGAGGATGACCATGAGGATGACCCAGGACCGGACAGTGTTTTGTTCCTTTGCACTCAGGGTCCTTGTGAGTCAAAATCACTTGATGGTATCTCAAGAAAACATTGAGTTTGTGTTGTCCATTTCTATAAAGTGCAGGACATACTATGTTTAACTAAATTTATTAGTTGAGCCACTGATTGACGTAGATAGTTGGATTATGCAGTGGATTATGCATTTAGCTGCATTATTCCATGGGAAGAAGTGGTGAAAAGCCACTTCTTGTAGAAATACAACCACATCAGTGGACTCATATATCCACTACATTTGTTCAGTTGCTAGACTGTAGAATGATACACAAGTTCTTTACCAAGGTGTGAAAAACCAAACCTGCACTTGAAATGCTCACCTTGCATTCTTAATTAAGAAGTGATTGACCTTTTTTTAAAAAAAGCTTTTGTGAATTGCATAAAGGTTTACCGACAATATCATCTTCTCTACATTCTGTAAACTATACACCTTGTATCATCTTAAAGATACAATATTTATCGTACTTCCTCCCTGTGGCTCTCCATTTACATCTTACATTTCACAAATGAACAAGGCAAACATATTTGATGTATATTAACAAAACAAAAATCTATTTATTCACTCAAATGTCCAAGGGATACATTCTGCCATCCAGCCTCCTGCTCGCAGGCACACAGCCACCGTCTCTGCTGTTGCTGGTTTTCTAGGTAGGGATCTCTCACTCTACTCATGTTCTTCCTTCTTGAAGGTCCTTGATATGAAGAATGCTTCCATTCTGCTTGGAATTTTGAGTCACTGCATTTATAGGCAAAAGTCTAGCTCATCAAATTGCAACAATTTGTACCTATCCTCAGTATCAAACATTTTTATATTGCTTGATTGGATTCTGGTCAACTAGCCATCCAAACTAGGTCAAATGAATAGTAGCTGCAAGTTTGGAAGTTCACACACACCTCTCTACACTTCAGACCAGCTGGGTGCTTCATTCTCACCCCTAACTCCAGGGGCTAGGCCAGTGCCCATAAGCTCAAGAGTTAATGTCTTCTATTAATGAGAACTTGCAAAGATTGTTTCTTTATGGCTTTGTTGTTGTTGTTAAGTCCCGGTGAGTCAGTTCCAACCCATAGTGACCCTGTATAGGGTTTCTGAGGGCAGCTGGTGAGCTTGAACCATAGACCTTGCAGTTCAAACAGCTTTGCAGTCTGGCACATGAATCCACAGAGCTTAGAAGTACACAGAAAACACTCAATGGATCTTGGAGCTCTGGATGGCATAAATAATTAATGTGCTTGGCTTCTAAATGACAGGTTAGCAAATTTAGTCTAAGCAGAACTAAATTGGAAGTGACTGGTGATCTTTTCCTGAAAATTCTGCCAATGAAAACCATGTGGAGCACAGTTCTACTCTTGACACACCTTGAAAAGTAACAGAGGAGAGTTAATATCACTGTAGTCAGATATTTACAACTTGCACAGCTAGTGGACTATACTTTGGGCACTAACTGGTCTCTGGATGCTGACCAGATTGGTTTAAGAGCTTTGAGACAATTTTTCTTTTTAAATAATAAACACATTGGTAGCTTCCTCAGGCCCGTACAACAACATGATTCAGTTGTTCTTATCAGCACTCTATTTCCATCATCTAGCTTCTGTTCATGACTTCCCTATGGAATCAAAACTGTCAGGGGAAGCAGGGGACAAGTCTTAGAATGTATTATCTAAAGACTGTCATGAAATAGATGACTTAGAATCTAGTTAGACTATTACGTGTTGATGACTTCTGAGTCAGTTTTATTTAATGCAATTCTTGGGAGGACACTTAGCAACACATTTTATTAAATTTGTTTCTAATGTGTTTTGTTTTTTCTTTTCTTCCTTTTAATTTTAGATTGTGTTGCCTCCTCACCTGGAAAGGATAAGAGAAAAACTTGCAGAGAATATCCATGAACTCTGGGTTATGAACAAAATTGAGCTTGGCTGGCAGTATGGTCCGGTATACAATTTTGAAATTTATTTTCAGATTCTTTTAGCACATCCTTCTGCAAACATAACTTTTCTCACTTATCCTGTTCTATAGTTGCACGAGTTGGATTGATTTGTTTTTCTGTCCGCATTAGTTTTTGTGCAGCTTTTCTTCACAGGAGAGAAAGACTTATTAGTAAATTCACTGAGGAATTGCCTAGATAATTTAAAAGTTATCAGTATTTGGTCTGAAGATTCTGTTTTCAAATCAAGCTTAACATAGACAGGCAAGATTATACTGCCTTTTTAGTCCCATAAAAAAAAAAAAAAAATCTCACTGATATTGAAAATGAAAACTGAAAATGGAATTAAATGTTGATTTCATTTTCTTCCTCTTGGTGTTTCATTGCTTTTGGCACAGTTGTATGTAGCACTGAAAATCCTGTGATTTCAGACTGAGAAATTATAATTGAGTATGTTTTCAAATAGAGATCTTTGTTTATAGTTTTATTTTTACTGAACCTTAATCCCTTCATCTCATAGATGTGTTTTTGGCAAGAACCATGACAACACTTTCATTTTTATACCACGTTATTCTAAGTATCCCAAAGCTTTTGATACTTTATTATCTTCATCAAATATAGAAATTCCTGTATTCACCCTGTTGTTGTTGTTGTTAGGTGCCATCGAGTCGGTACCAACTCATAGTGACCCTATCCACAGCAGAACGAAACACTTACCTCATTTTTATTGCCATACTTGAGTACATCGATGCTGCCACTTGGCCAATCCATCTCTTTGGGGGTCTTCTTATTTTTCTCTGACCCTCCACCTTCCTAAACATGATACCCTTCGCCAGCGACTTGTCCCTCATGACAGTGTGTCCAAAGTATGAGAGACAAAGTCTGGCATCCTGGCCTCCAAGGAGCACTCTGGCTGCACTTCTTCCGATATGGATCTGTTTGTTATTTTGGCAGCCTTGTGGCACATTCAATATTCTCCTTCAGCACCAAAACTCAAAATCATCAATTCTTCTACAGTCTTCCTTATTTACTGTCCAGCTTTCACATGCATATGAGGTTACTGAAAATACCATGGCTTGGGTCAGGCACACCGTAGTCCTCAAGCTGACATCTTTGCTCTTCAGCACTTTAAAAAGGTCTTGTGCAGCAGATTTGCCTAATGCAATATGTCGTTTGATTTCTTGACTGCTGCTTCCATGAGTGTTGATAGTTTATCCAAGAAGAATGAAGTCCTTTACAACTTCAATCTTTTCTCCATTGATAAGAATGTTGTTTATTGGTCCAGTGGTAAAGACTTTTGTTTTCTTTACATTGAGATGTAATCCATACTGAAGGCTGTGTTCTTTCACCCTAGTGATAGTTTATTGCATTGGGCTGTCAGTCAGGAACACCTATCAGCGTTAATATCAATGATGTAATATACGCTTTCTACTCCCGTAAAGATTTACACCCTCGGAAACCCTGTACAGGCTCGCTATGGGTCGGAACCGACTCAATGGCGCTTAACAACAACAACAACAATATACTCCATACTTGCCAGTGGTGCTTGGGTAGTTTTTAGTGCTTGGCACGCTCCCATGCACATAGATGAATTAGGTTATATTTTCATATCAAAACATGAGGCATTTCAGGATCCACTGGTGATAACGTCATTGAGAATTCTCACTCAGTAGGTAGCCGACCTAAGACTGGAATCCAGGTTTCCTGACTTGTAGTTGTAGGACTCCTTGTGTGGCACTGCGGGTTAATGCGCGGGGCTGCAAAGCTGGTTTGAACCTTAAGGTCAGAGGTTCAAGATCACCAGCCGGTCCTTGGAAACCCAATACAGGGTCATTATGGGTTTGAACCGAGTTGACGGCACTTAACAACAACAATCTATAGGATAAGCACTGAACTGCTTATAGCCACCTTGTATAGGGTTTCCGAGGAGCGGCTGGTGACTTTGAACCACTGACCTGCAGTGTACACCTGTGGTCTGGTGCATTAGTTCACAGTGCCACACCAGGATCCAGAGAAAGGTTAGAGATATGAAAGACCATGTTCAGAAGTGTGTAGACTTAGTGAGGTGGCGGATATGTTGAGAAACGTCCCTTTTGAAGTTTTTCTTTTACAAACGTTTCTATGATTTTGTAGCAATATTTTAAATTTACCCTCATGTTACCTGTGCCTGGAAGATTGTAGAGGTTTCTTTGGGGTGATGGTCTTTAGGGTGAACATGGGTTTTGTTCTTGCTTTCCACTTCCACCTCCACATCCCATTGTACATATTCAGGTGGATCACCTTTGCTTATGTGACATTGGAGACTATTGTATGTCTATTTCTGGTCCTGTTTCAGATTAGAGATGACAACAAGAGACAGCACCCTTGTCTGGTGGAGTTCGCCAAGCTGCCTGAACAGGAACGTAATTACAATCTACAGATGTCACTGGAGACCCTGAAGTGAGTTTAGCTGTTTTTTCATCCCCTGAATCTGCCTTTTCTGAAAGAAATAATCGATTGATGTTGTTATTTAATTACCTATAATTGACAAGAGAGCTTTCAAAAATTTCGTGGAAATAATGGAATTGCATGATAATAGAATTTTTCCATGTATTTTTTTTTTTTTTTAAACTGCCTTGTACTTTAATTCTAGTTAGATCTTTTTGTATTCTATAATGAACTGGATCAGTATTTGTTGGGACTCAGATCTTGACCCTAATGCTTTATGAATTGTTGCTCTATGTTAGGATTTCCCAAAGGGTTTTGTACAGATGTGGATGGGAGTTGCTGAGTTAGAGGGATTGGGTACACACCGGGCCAGCCACAATTGTTAGTTGTAGAATTGTAGCAAAATTTAACATGGAATAGTTCCCAAGATATTTGGGAACTTGTAACTCTTTTGTTCCTCTCCTATCCTTGATGACCTGTAACATTGCCTTTGCTCAAGAAGGCCACTTGTTCTTATGTGTGTCCTAGTGTATCATTGCAGGATAATGCGCTGGATTGCAAAGTCAGTCTGAACCGTAAGGTCGGCGGTTCAAACCTACCAGCCACTCCTCGGAATCCCTATACAGGGTTGCTGTGGGTTGGAGCTGACTCAGTGGCCCTTAACAGCAACAACAACAACAATAACAACATACTGCCTTGTTGAAAACACTAGACTGACACTCTGCAAAAATAAAAACAAGCATTTTATTGAAAGAATAGAATGATTTTGAAATGGAAAGACACTACAACCCTCCATGTAGGATGCACAGTGCTTAAAATTGCAGGGGAGACAATAAGGTCTTTAAAAGGTGACTTGCAGGTTTTGAGCTTGCAGACTCTTACAGGAGGCAGAAGCATGGCAAAAGGTACAAACGGTGCGCTAAGAGTAAACATGATCTGTGAGCTTGTTTGGTACATCTGAGAGTTAAAGCATTTTATCTGAGGTTAATTTTCTGTTAGTGAGTGTGGTGGCCCTGTAGGACAAGCACTGAACTGCAGACCACAAGGTCAGTGGTTCAAGCCCACCAGCCACTCCTAGGGAGAAAGATTTACAGCCTTCAAAACCCTATTCGGGGTGGCTATGAGTCAAAACTGACTCCATGGCACTTAACAATTTTCTGTTACAATTTCAGTCTATCTCCTTTTCCCGAAACTCAGTCTCTTCCTTAGTTACAGATTTGTTGTTGTTGCTAAGTGCCATCAGTGGAGTCTGGATTCCAACCCATAGTGACCCTGTATAGGGTTTCCAAGGAGCTTGAATCACTGACCTTGCAGTTCAAACAACTTTGCAATCTGAAGCATTAGCCCACAGCGCCACACCAGGACTCCAGTTACAGATTTACAAAGGACTAATACAAACATGCTGTGGGTTAATGCGCCAGACTGCAAAGCCATTTGAACTGCAAGCTCAGCGGTTCAAACTCACCTCAGAAACCCTATACAGGGTCATTATGGGTCAGAACTGACTCAACAGCACTTTACAACAACAATAATACAAACACTTGGACTCCTGGTGTGGTGTTGTAGCTTAAGCACTGAACTTCAAACCACAAGGTCGGTGGTTCAAACTCACCAGCTGCTCCCTGGAAACCCTATACAGAGTTGCTATGAGTCGGAACTGACTTGTCAGCATTTAACAACAACAAGAAAAATACAGCAGAAAATCATACTGAATGAAAATTTTAGTTTGGGGAATAAGCAGTAGTGTATGTACCTAGTGTAGTTGCAAAGTGATTTATTTACAAGCCACAACTTCTTTAGGCATGATCAGTTCTATCTCCTGTCCTCGTGCTGACCAAGGTGACTTCTATGGGGCAGCCTTACACATTCTCATCAGACACGAAACAATTCTACGTCCAGGATAGAAATCCTGACCTTGGCTTTTTTGTTCTTCAAGCAGTAAAACTTTGACAAAAAGACTGAACGGCTTCTTTATAAAAGCAGAAATGAAAATCTTAGATCTGAAACGTTTAGATCTGGTCACTTAATTCAGATATGACAGTACCTAGATTTTTCTAAGTTTCAGCAATCCACAATACCTTTGTCTTTTTTGTTTCAGATTTGAAAAAAGACTCATATTCATTGAACTTATTTTACCAGTGACCCAGAACATACAAGCAGTTTCAGATGACAGGATTTGGGTTAAAAGATGTGGTAGTAATTAAATTGTGGGACAAACAAATTGGGCACAGAGTGAATTTGATTGCTTTATGAAGTCTCTAGGACTCCTGGTCTGGAGCTATAAGATCAGCACTGGACTGCGAACCACAAGATCGATGGTTCAAACCTACCAGCTGCTCCTGGAAAATCCTAGACAGGGTCCCTATGAGTCATAGCCCACTTACCAGCACTTTACAGCAGCAACAACAATGATGTGGTGGTACAAACAGTTAAGCACTTGGCTATTAACCCAAAGGTTGTCCTTTCAAATCCACACCCTCAAAAGCAGGGTCTGAAGTCTGCTTCCAAATGGTCACAGCCTACAAAATACTATGGGGCACAGGAAGAATTGAATTTTGTTTGTTTTGTTGATTGTTTATTTTTTAGTAGCTTTATAACAACAACCAAAAACAAACAAATAAGCCAGTTGCCACTCAGTCAGTACCAACTCATGTGTGTCTGAAGAGCCGAATTGTGTCCTGTAGTATTTTCAGTGTCTCATTTTTCAGAACTAGTTTGCCAAGCCTTTCTTCTGAGGTGTCTCTGGTGTTACTGTTGTTGGGTGTAGATGACTTTTCAGTTAGCAGTCCAGTGCTTATCCTGTAGCACCACACCAGGTGCCTCTGTTGTTAAGTGCCGTCGAATCAGGTCCGACCCATAGCGACCTGGTATAGGGTTTCTAAGGAGCAGCTGGTGAGCTTGAACTACAAACCTTGCAGTTCAAACTGACTTTGCAGTCCAGCGCATTAACTCACAGAGCCACACCAGATGGGTTCTAACTACCAACTTTTAGATTAGTAGTCAAATGCGAAAGGTAGGAATCTTAAGTACTTTTATAGGAAACTAATAATAGGAAGCCAAGGAAATTGAGACTGTACTACAGGTTAAAGTGACAAGGCTTATCTGCAATAAAACATGCATCCTTTATACATGTGACCCGATCACCTTTCCTTCAAGCATCTTTCATCTTTCTTTGTGGTCTTGATAGGAGAAATGTGTTTAGTTTGGTAATTCACGGCATCTCATCTTTAACAACAAAATGTTTTATAGAAAGTCATGGTCTAGCACATTGTTGTTGAGTGCTGTCAAGTCTGTTCCAACCCTTAGCAACCCTGCAGAGGGTTCAGACTGACTTTGCAATCCAGTGCATTAACTCACAGCACCACACTAGGACTCATATTGTTGTTGTTGTTATGTGCCGTGGAGTCGGCTCCAACTCATAGCGAGCCTGTACAGGGATTCTGAGGCTATAAATCTTTATGGGAGTAGAAATCCTCATCTTTCTTCCATGGAACAGCTGGTGTTTTCAAACTGTTGACCTTGCGGGTCAAGCCCGATTTGTAACCACTACGCTAGAACTCATATGGTGTAACATAATTGAGTTAAATTTAATATCGATTTTCTATCATTTGAGTGTGGCACTGTAGGATAAGCATTGGACTGCTAAGAACCAGCTTTTCCTGGGAAACCCTCTCCAGGGTAATTGTGAGTCAGGACTGACCCATGGCACTTAACAACAACAACAACAACAACAACAACAACAACAACAACGATTAACAGCAGAGCCAGCAATTCCAAGTAGAGCAGTAGGCACTGGAGAATACAGATTTCCATGTTTGCCTTTCAAAGCCTGAACTCCATTCTCATTGCTAACAGCTAAGGGGACTTGTTTGAGTACTCATCAGGCTGCCTGAATGCTGGTGGTCTTTCCAGTGGGAATGTTAATGACCCTTTTCAAGAGCCAATTCTTGAACTTCTTTGTTGCTATTTCCTTGAATAAAGTTGTTGTTAAGGACCTTGTGTAGAGTTTCCAAGGAATGGCTGGTGAGTTTGAACCACCCACCTTGCTGTTCAAACTGATCTTGAGCTGGAGTGCTTATCCTATGGCACCTCACTAGAACTCCTTAATCAAATGGAGTAATGTACTGGTTTTTTGTTTGTTTGTGTGGTTCACCATGGTATGGTTGTACCATGGCGTGTCTTTGCCTATTCCATTAAAACCAAAATAGGGGACAAAAGCCCTGTTGTTGGTAAGTGCCATCCTGGTGAGTTTGAACCGCTGACCTTGCAGTTCACGCCAGCCTTGAGGTCCAATGCTTACACTATGGTGTCACACAGTTGGGTGATTAAATATGAATTGGACTTTTTGATGTTTTCCTGTGATTTTCTGTACACATATACCTTTTTTTCTGACACACAAATCATGAACTGCTACAAGATTGCAGTGGAGATATATTTCAGATTCATAATGCATTGAAACAAATTTTAAAGAAGAAAGGAAGCCACATAAATTGTTATAATAGAAGGAACTGAGTGTCTGCCACATGAAACTCAGGGCTTCTAGCTATTGGACAGTAAGTCTCTTTTGTAGTTTGTGGACAATGGCTTGTTCCTGGGTCATCCGTCAAAAAGGAGTTAAGGATCTCAGCCCATTGTTGCTCTTATTGGTTTAATTTTGTTGTTGTTACGTGCCATTGAGTCGATTCTATTCGGACCCATGGTGACCCTGTATAAGGTTTCCAAGAAGCAGCTGGTGAGTTTGAACTGCTGACTTTGCACTTCAAATGGCTTTGCAGTCTGGTGCATTAACCCCCAGCACCACAGCAGGACTCCTACTGGTTGGCCAAATAATCCTGATAGATGGTTCTTGTATAAAACGTACCTCTGTTCATCAGGGAAGCATTTGCTGTGGCTAGTGACCTTTTGAAGTCTGGATTGTAATGGTCTAGTTTGTCCCTTTCATGCCGATTTAGACTGATTTGTTACATAAATTCATTAGTGCCTTCTTCTCTTAGGAACCTTAAGACTGAAGC